ACTTTCCCATCATAGGATGCAGAAATTAAATGGAACGAGGATTTATTGTGCCACTTGCAAGCAGAAATCCAAGAACTGTGAGATGAGAACTGAAACACAGGAGCAGATGTTCCTACAAAACAACAAAGAACATGTAAGATGCAAATTTATGAGAGAGAGAGAGAGAGAGAGAGAGAGAGAGAGAGAGAGTGTTAGAGAGAAAGAGAGAATCAGACCAGGTTTCCGAGGATCCCAGATCCTAAGAATTGGGTCGGAACCACCAGCAGCAATGAGGGCAGAACCTTCACCTCCAACATCAATGCAATGAAGAACTTTCCCACAGAACTGAGCAAGAAGGAGAATTTATCATTTAAACTTGAAAGGATAACTCTAGCTCCATGTCTTGAATGGAAGCATGAAAAAAAAAAAAATCTTAACAGTTAAACCTTAATATGAGCTACTTGAACTCCATTCTCGAATGGAAGATAAAGAAGAAAACATGTGTTGTTGAAAAGGTTGTATGTATTCTCTATCCAATGATAAGGTTAAAAGGTAATTCTGACTTACTATATCTGAAAGATCTTTGCCCGTCTCAACATCCCATCTCCTAACAGAATGATCCCAAGATGCAGAATAGATTGTTTCATGTTCTGGCCAAACCACAGATGATACACATTGTGTATGGCCCACAAGTGTTGACACAGCTTCTGCCTACATGAAATGAAATTTCATTTATATATCAACAGAGATGACTAGGGAAAAAACATACAATAATTAAGCATCAACTTAAGGTCACAAAGACTTGAAAAAAGCATGTAAGAAGAGAAATAAGCTCTCTAAATTACAGAGCCAAAAGATAAAAGGTTTAAAAAAGAGATGAAACTTAAAAAATCCTTACTAGCTCTTGAAATTGAAAATTTTAATTTATCAATTGTTACAGGGGCACTTGGCTTTCCCATAGAACAAGATGTTTAATTTCAGCTAGACATATCAATTGAAAAAGTGTCCATTGTCTTACACAGAATCCATGTTAAATTTCATTTTTTGTACAACATCATCAACTAATCCTCATGTAAGCAGTAAAAGATTAAAGAAATTAATAAAAATGAAACTTTGAATTTATCATTGGTTTTGTGCTACAACTTTAACCATGTTCTCAGTGAACCTTGCTAAAGGAGGATTGTGCACCATGAGCCTTGAGAAACAACAAGGTAAAAACTTTTCAGAGACTTCAGAAATTCAAATGCACCCAAAAGGGAGTGAAAATGATGTATACCTCCAACTGAGATTCATCAGCTTGATTATTCACTTTTCTTTTCTTGATTGACACTTGATCACCTTCCGCATTGGACTTATTTGTCCGCCATAAATTGATTGTACAATCCCAGGAGCCTGAACAAACCTAAGCGTATGTAAACAAAAGAGATGGAAGCAATCAGCTTAATGGCTATTCAACCATGCAACTTACATCAATGAAAATACAATTCAGCAAAAACAGCCAGACCATGTCTCCTGAAGTCTTTGGAGCGATGCTCTGTACAGATGCTTTATGCCCCCGCAAAATTTTGAATGCCTGTATCTTCTTAGGATGATTAATAACCTCCTCTGCATCAAACTTTGACAGGAAAGAGAATATAACAATCAGCCTGAGAACTGAATTTTCACTTAAAATCACTAGTTTCTTCCACTTACCTTCCACAATCTCGCAGTCCGATCTTTTGAAGCAGTGGCAACAGTGACATCTGTCATACCTGCATTTACAACCGTAAACTAACCAATATAGAAACAAAGATGAAGATAATTACATATGCACCTATAATACTTGGACATGACCATAGACAGAATCAACAATAAAGCATGGACTAGGTAAGATGAAGAGGTATGCTAATTTGGTCCTTTTACAACTAAAACACCATTTTGAACATTGGAAATTTTCTGGTAATTTAGCTTAGCAGATCAAACATCTGTACAACATCTATACGATATGAATTACGAAGTGTGGAATCTCAAAACTGCCCAACAAAATAAAATTATATGACTAGGGAGAAAAGTCCAATTATTCCATAATACCCTACGAAAATGTACTTTTCTACACCCTTCTTGACACCTTTGACAGGTTATATAAATTACTTTACTGTTCAACATCTGCCAAATACCTTTTTTGAGACTGGCAAAACATATTGAGGTTAAAAACATTTAGGAAGAAAAAACAATAGCTGCTAACTTAAGAATAAGATAAAAGGTCAAATATGAATAGCCATCATAAATGGGTGCTTCAGGACTTAAAAATAAATGATGTTTAAAGTAGGCAGCAAGCATAGCTAAAAATCAAAAGCCCAATAGTGGTCATCTTTCAGGGTAAAAATAGCCAGACTATTAAACAATAGGCATTAAGCATGTTAAAGATGGTCAATACTGTCATACCATCTGAATTAATGATTCTAATGGAAGATAATGCACCACTGTGTCCTTCCAGTATATGTGTACATGATCCAGTGTTTTTCCATACCCTATAAAGAATTACAATTCAAAAATCAAATGGCTGAAATACCAGCAGGCATTGACTTCCTTACAACTAAATAAGATACAATAAAGCATATTGAAGTGCGGATGTAGATAAAAGTTTTAGGCAAAAACTTCAAAAACATTTACCTTCCCAAACAATCATAGGAACCGGTCAAGATGAACCTGCAAAATGACAAATTTGTGCAGCTATCAGATACATATGTTTTATTGGTAAAATGAAGCAACACAAAGGGAAATAATTAAAGTGTCTCAACAAAATCTAATTTACGTGCCAAGTGAGATATAATAAAACCATGGAACTACCTCTGTTCTTCATAGAAACTCCAATAAAACATTTTGAAGTCAGACAACTCTTGATAATTTGGGTTTCATTTTTTCAAGGAGGGCTCCATGTAAACAAGACCAGAACAGGGTCCGTTTTGGTAGTTTGAACAGTAAACATATAAATACCAAGCACAATGACTAAGACTATAACAAATTCGTGATATTTTTGGTAGTATTTCTCCTAAGAAATATGTTTAGCTAACACTAACATGGATTATATTGAGTTTGTAGAACCAAAATCATTAAATGAAAGAGATAAGAGTAAAAGCAAACAATATTCATAGTTCCTCTAATTTCTATCCATCTATACAGTAACCCCAAAACTTTTTCAACTCTCAGCAAATATATTGCACAATGCACACATTCACATACATACCCAGGATTAGAGCCATCAACTGCACTAACCCAATCATCATGTAAAGAAGGCCCTTCCTCCTTCTGTGGAACCACCGCCTTTATGTATTCAATTTCCAATATCTTCTCCTGTAGTTGGTCATAGATTCTAATTAATCATTCATCATAGAAAACACAGAAAGTCACATTCACTTCCTTCAAGTTTACTCTTCTTATCGACAAACCCTTCTAATTCCAAAACTAGCAATACCTCCAAGAAACTTTTGAAGAATTTCAAAACCCTCAAGTTCTTGTAAGCTTTAATAAGAGTACTTAAAAAAATCGGTATTTTAATAAGTAACTTGACACAAACAACAAGTCTAAAAATTTGAATAAAGAAGATCAAATTTAGTAGCACTCTGAACATATTACGCCCCAGATTGCTTTGTTAGTCATAATTGTCTAACATGCTAAACCTTTAGCACTTTACAACATTAAAGGAGAATTGTTCGTCTAAATTTTAAAAATGACACAGAAGTCCACACCCGTCTATTAATCATGTCAGACAATTATGATTAATAAACCATCTAAGCATCAATAAAAAACATCTATTACCAAAACTAAAATTTAAACATATATATATATCAAAACGTACCGCAGAAATGCCCTTGGCCAGAAGAAACTGTTCAAGCGACATGCGAATGAGCTCGCCATTGATCAAAAAATCGAAGGGCTGAGATTGCCACTCAGAATTCACTGAACAAGACATAAAAACAACAATTAGAAACTAAAAAAACTCGCTAAGTTTTTAAAGGATAGGAACACGAAAGTACCTGATTGAAGCAAGTTGTTTACAACAGAGGAGAGGCCGAAGCGAGTGAGATTAGAAGGGATAGCAACTGAAGTGTTAGGTACTTTCAGTGGAGGTTTTAGCTTTGTTATGAAGCGAACTTGAACGCGCCTCAAATTTTCTTCATTTTGATCGTCTGTTGCCATGTTCAGCTCCATTGCTTTGCTAATTTTTTTTATTTTTTTATTTTTTTCTTGTCGTTGAATTGATGTGCAGAATAAGTACTAAAAACTGAGCTAGGGGTTTTACATACTAGGAAGGAGAAGAAAATGTAAGGGAAACTAGGGTTTTAGTTCGAAGCAAGGCCTGGCCCAGAAAATCAGGCGTAATGGATCATCATTTTGGGCAGGCCTCAAAAATAAAAGATTTAGAAATATTAATAATAAAAAGTAATACTACACGTTACACATGATAACGTTAGTTTACAACTAAATCATACAAATAAAAATTATATAAAATAATTATTTTATCTTTTATTTCTTGTTTAGTTATATAATTCAATTATAAATATAATATTGTTCTACAGGTTATTTAAAACGCGATTTTCTTTAACATATATCTTATAAACATTATAAGACAAAAAATTTATTTTAATACATTAAAATTACTTTTTTAAAAACTTTTCATACATAATATATATCTAAATAAATAAATCTTTTGTATTTTAGTATCTTTACCGTGTACCCATTAGCTTAAAAACACTCTCTCTCAACTATACATTCTAAATTCAGTCTAATCCATTTAAGTTCATTATAATCTTCTGAATTGAATTACGGAAAGGGGGAATTTGAGAAAGAGTTGAATATTTTCCCGAGAAAGTGTATGAGAGAGGAGAAACAAAAAAGTTGATTTCATATATCGTACTTTATTTTTGTTAAGTAATCGTGGCAGAGAGACCCTAATTATAAAATAAATTACATTGATTTGATAGTTGATAGAATCAGATCACTCTAAACCCTGAAGTGTTTATATATACAGAGTCTACTGATCATTTCTTTACTCATTAGTAGCAAGTTAACCACAACAGCATTTGATACCTATAATGGCCTGTTAGCACTTAGCAAGTTAGCAGCATTAGGCTTAGCACATCTGGGATGCTTTCTCTGTCAGCAAGAGTCGAATCACCTGGCGAAAGCCGCAATCAACTTCGCAACACGGTTTGGCTTCTCAACATGGGGGAGATGACCACAATCTGGTATTTTCCGCATAATTGCATTCGGCAGCTCACTTTCCAGCCTCTACAGCATGTTTAAAGAAACACATCAGAAACTGTAACTAAATTATGTGTTTCAGCGTATATACACGCCTAGCCAACGAAGGCGTTTGATCAACTGCTCAAACCAAGCTTATAGCACAATCTAGCAAGGGCAAATGCATTATAGTTAAACTTTTATAAATAGTATTTTTGTTGACTATGAGCCTGTACTTTAGCTTTCACTTGGACATGAGACCAGTGAGAGGTCACATGACAAACCAGAATTGAAGTTTCCGCAAGTTATTATATATGCATATTCAACAAATATATATTTAGTATCGGTGCAAGTGAATAGAAGTGTGATCTTTTGTTTGGAAAATGAGCATGTTAGAACAGAATGAATTGGGGTTTGTTGTATGGTCTTTTTGTCTTGAAGAGTATCATAGAAGTTAGAACAGAATGAGTAGGAAGCAAAAAGCTTGAAACATACCATTGCGAGCTGTTTATCGACAATCAGATCTTGCTCACTGCAGATGATAAGTACTTTCTGCCTTACCTGTAGAATCAAAATATAAATACCATGTAAAGACCCAAATACCACTCCAAAACATTTTTTCTGTCAATGCTAATTTTGAGAACCGGTGTCTATCAAAATCCAAATTATACTCAACATTGGCGGACTAGTGTTAACGAAATTTAGCCCTCCATTGTCCAAATTGTCAAAAGAAAAAACTAGATCAGAATTTTTCATGGCTTCCAAAATGCATAACATCTCAGCTACTTGGATGTCCAACCTAAGAAGCTAAGACTGAGCACACCGCTGACCAATGATGATAAGTACCAAATGGAAGACACACTATCAAATACACAATGTCAAATATAATCAACTGTCATGAATCCACATGTGACTATATTAAAGGGAATTGATGTTATATACTGCCTCTCGGGGAGCGGGATTCCATCCTTGACATTTCAGTCTACATAGTTGGAAAAAAAAAATAGCATTTCCATACCTGTTTAATTTGTGAAACTACGTTATAGCCTCCACTAATCATGAAGTCAACAGTTGCATCTTTCCACCAAGGGAGGTGGCAATGTAGGCGACCTACCTAGAATTTCATACAAGAATAAAACATCTATTAGATTTCACCTCATGAAACCTTGCAGAAAGACTTTCGATTAAACCAAAATAAATTCAAAAATGTGTAATCTTAAACCAAGTATCTATCCCAAGATTGGAGTTTAGTTTGATAAGAATTTGATTTGGTTCTATTCGTTCAACAGTTGAACCAGACCCAATCTCAGGATTAGGCTCATCCAGTTTTTCAGCTTAAACTTCAAAGACTCTAGAAGCTATCAGTCATTTAGCTCATAAGTTAAGAGTACTTTATATCATAAAACAAATTTATATCTACATATATTATATGCATTATAAATACTTTACATGCAAGTTGATTTATGTCATAAATTGTATAAATATTAATATAGTAAATTTATGTTATGAACCATAAAAAAGATCTTCTCAGTGAAAAATTTGAACAGAAACTATATATCATTGAAGCCCAAAGTTGAGCCCAAATTGACTCAAATACTTCACCAACCTAACATGAATTGACCTTGAGCTTTCTTTTTCAAGCTCAATCAAACTTGAGCCAAGTTTAAAGCTAAGCAATCAGTTTGAGCCAACCTCAAATGTGCCCAAGTATTTGACTTAGCTCAACTTGTTGGCATTGAAATTCTCAGCACAACCCTTAAAGAAAATCATCTGTCTTGACAAGAAAAAATTGACTTACATTAGTCCAATCTAACCCTTTAGATAATGGGATGCCATTGAAGGTTAATATATTAGCATAAAGGCGCAGTGGAATGCTCTTCAACAAAGAAACCTGATTCATAAAGTTTAATAAAACAGTTAGGCGGCATAAGTTCAATAATGAGTAAATCTGATAAATCACAAAAAAAATGCTGGACATATGACAGAGCAACATCATCTTCTGGTACAGAAGCATCCTTCTTTGTCCTATAACTAGTGCCACCTTGGTTATGTAAAATGTGACAACAAAGTCTACCAAATTTAAAGATAGAACAGCAACTCCTGGTGTTAGTATAAATACAGTGTTTCCTAAAAAGCATCCTGCATCACCATTATACATCTGATTCATGCAAGTGGACTATTAAATAAGGAAACGATAAATTGTAAACAGTTTAATGGTTATTAGGAGGTACAATATTCTATGTATTTGTTTAATTTTAAAGATCATGTTACTGTCAGGCCACTCTGTTAGTTAGGTGTTCCTTGCTTCAGTTTCTATAACCTCTTTCATTTTACTTTTTTCTTATTCCTTTTTGTAACATATGCTTTGCAATTAGGTGTTTTTTCTGACCCCGCCGTTCTACTATATAAACCAAAATGTCAAAGTTACTTGAATCACTAAATGTGGAGACTTACCCCAGCATAGGCCACTATCTTAGGTAATTTTGCAAGGTTACCCGTGCCTTCTGCATAAACACTGGGGTTGATCAAAACCATCTTTTCAACCTGTATTAGGAAATAACTTTTTAACATAAACATTATTGACCAAGTACTCTGTACTTGATGGTAAAAAGCTGGAAGCAAAAGTGAGTACATAAGTTGGAATTAAAGCAGCAATTTTGAGAGATCAGAATGTCTAAAGTCTAAATCTTTTTATGTACATAGGCATGAAAATGAATTGAAAAGATGAAACGCTTACAGCTTCAGGATAGTTCACTGCAAAGTCAATTGCTACAGCAGCACCAAGACTGGGTCCAACTAGAACAATTGGCCTTTTAATGTAGGACTTCCAGAGCTAAAATTTCATTGAGGAAAAATCAGTGTCCAATCTTAACGAAAGAAATCAAACTGCCACCATTAATCATGAAAAGTTTAGTCTGCCATATTACATTGGCTAGTTGTTTTTGGCAAACTTAAAGCTGGGATAAAGAATCAATCAAGATACCTGATAGAGGTGATAGCGCTTTGAAGCAGCATCACATGGTGGAAGCCTCTCTTGTTGGGGGAAGAAAGGAAAAAAAATAAAGCACAAAGAAAAAAAAATAAATTAGCATCATTTCACACTTCCGACATAGACCTAAGAGATATTAACATAGGTGAATCCAGAAACTAGTCAAGACAGGTTGATGAACCTAAGTCAGAGAATCCCCATCCCAGAACATCAACAGCCCAAGCCTCCAAACCAGCCTCCTCAAGCAAGGGGTATGCGCTTCTCCATTCTAAACAAGAACTAAGTGATACAACATATTGAACCAGGTTCAGCTGGAAATAAGATGATTGTAATCATAGTATAGGTTGTGTATATCACAAACCTGTCAAACGAATGCAAGAGAACAACCGGATTTGTTTCATTTTTTATCCTTGGTTTCACGCAACTACTCATTATGCAACTTCCTGAAAATTCAGTTTGCTGTACACAAGCAAGCCACATAAGTACCACATAGTAAGTAGACAAAGAGACTAATAATATTACAGGGCAGCAAAATTAAAGCACTCAGTCAGAACCAGAACTTCCATGTTTAAAGAACTGACCAAACTCACAAGCATGTACAATCGTAATGGATTTTCTCACTCCTATTGTTTGTACTATCAAAGGATCTTGAAATCACAATGTGCTTGACCTAAAATCCACCCTTGTTCATAGTATATCACTCCCACGTGTCATCTTCAAGTTCTACACCTTCAATTGAAGGGCATCTCTAATTTCTTTCAACAAAAAATAGATTTAAAAAAAGAATAAATCACATTCCAAACGGTAAAAACTTTAATTCCATCTCCCACATAAAGAAATTAAATAAACAATAACATGCATTTCAAGCACAGTGAAATGCAGAAGCAAAAGAAGGAAAATTGAAGAGTAGACTAGCAGTAAACCTGTACAGGGAGTCTCTGAATCCTCTGAGCCAAACTTCTAGCAAAAGGGTCTTTAATTTTCTCAACCTCTTTCGGAAGAAACGACGGAAACCCATCACCACCACCGCAACCCCCACCGTCACTCACCACCACCTTCGTAAGACCAGCCCTTAAACTCCCAGATTTCTTTGCCATTGCAGTGGCATGATGAGCAGGAGGAGGAAAGCCCCACTTGAGAGCCATCATAATTGTTCAAAACAAGCACTGAACAAAGCAAAGAGAGGAGAGAGTTGAGTTTGTCTGTAGTTTAGTTTCTGCCACAATGTGACGATGTTCAAATGTTTAACGCTAATTTATACATAAAAATGACAACTTGGTTAGTCCTGTACTGTAATAATCTGTTTCCAATTTCTGAAAGTTTGCATTTTTATGCTATTGGCACTTATTTCCACTTATTTGGCATGCAAAACAGTTTCCCACAGTACAAAATTAAAAGCTGGGGTGGTCTTCCCTGTCGTCATTTTACTTTATGGAGAAGTTGATTGTTGGTAATGATAGTTAAGGCTCATTTCTTTAACAAATCACAACCGCGAGTTTGATTGGGCTAAGTGAAGAAGATCCTCTCAGGATTGATGGATGATGAAGGGTCTTCTCTGTCTTTTCCTTTCGTACGTTCACAGAATCACAAGTTACAATCAGTACTAGGTCTATAATTTGGTTAAACGTGGATGTGGGGCTCATCGATAAACGTGGATGTGGGGTTCATCGACGTCACATTATCTACTATATTATCAATTTAGACTCAGTTTGTTTGCCGTAAAATGTCATTATTTTTAAAATATTATTTTATATTTTTTAATTTCTTTTAAATCTTTTAAATTTATTAATTTAATTAAACACTTTTAAATATTTTTTTAGAAATTGCAAAAACATTTCAGCCACCCTCTAACGGCGGTGGTCAACTGTCCGTATTTAATGGGTGGATTAGAGGTATTTTTATTAGTTTTTAATATTTTATTATAGGGGTGTTTAGTAAATAAACAAACATATGGATTATTTTTGTTAATTCTTTAGTCATACATCATAATACCTACCAAATTTAATTTTTTTAAAAAGATTATTCTAAAAACTATAGAATAATGAACCAAACGAAGTCAGATTTTGTAACATTGTAATGTAATATCGCAGACATATAATATCATGAACAATAAAACATTTTTATAGTCATAATCTATATAAAAATAATTATTATATAGTCAATGACGGATGCAGAGTCAGTGGTCTACCCTCAAATTTTTTTTTCTTTTTGTGACAATTTCAACTAGAAAAATAGAATATGAATATTAAATGCAATTAGTTTTTATTTTGGTCCATCCTAACAGAAATTTCTAAATCTACTACTGCATATAATCATAAAAAATTATGATCCCAATTTAGGCCAGTTATACATTATAATAAAGTTATAATTTTTTTAAGTCTAGTTTTAAAGAAATTGTCTCTATATAGTAATAATTATCTATATATTACAAAAAATATTGTCTCTACATTCATATACATACAGGTACAAAATAACTTATTAGTATTGACACTTTTTTGTTGAAGTCAAAATATTTATAGGTTTTCAATTAGAGCTTGTTGATACAAAACTTTTTGTATTTCTATGCATACTTTACCTCTATACCACTTACATTAAGGATAATTATGTCAAAATAATAATTTTTGTAACTACACCTTGATTAAGTTATAATATTCTTATAGTAATAAAATTAGTCTGATCCCACTAGTATAACTATAGAGAATTTTATCATATTATTCATTCAGATATTTGATGTCATTTAATACATCGTGATTTTATTTACGAGTTGTTTAGTATAAGTAAAGGTATATTTACTTTTAAAAAAATAATTAAAATGAAGGACATTTATGGAAAGTATGCTTGTAATAAGTATAAACTAAATAAATTTTATAATTTTTAAATGAAGTGTTTGTAGGCCTTTATATAGTTTCAAAATGGGTTCTAATACAACTTACTCTAAAAATTAATTGATAATATCGAATATACCTTTTTTTATGCATATAAAAATCCTAAATCAAGAATAGAAGTTGGAAAGAGACAATCCCCTTTGAAAGAGATTTTTTCTCACATTAATGGATAATAGGTGCTTGTGGGTAGGGGTGTTCAAAAGAACCGATTGGAACCCAAAGTTTGGTTTCAATTCCTACTCTGAACAAGTTGTGAATGGATATGTTCTAGTTCCAAAAATCTGGAACTGACATTGTGCGGTTCTGATTTTGGTTCCTGCAATCAGAAACTAAAATCGAAACCGAGAACCAAGACTGATATAAAATGACATTAAAAAGGAGAGAGTTTATGTAATTTTGCTGTCATATATAAAAACTTCAATCAAATTATAGGGAAAACGAATTTTCCATCATTTAACTTCATCTTTGTCGCTCTCTCTCAGTTGGAAAACTTGAACAAGGCAACAACTTCACTTGATCTTCTTCTTTCACTAAGGTACAACGTATATTTTTTTACTGGTTCTTCTATTTTTCACTCGCTCTCTTTGTGTCATATATAAGATTTTTATGCCTTGCTGTGTTGCGGTATGCTTGCCATTGATGTAGTTAGAAGAGTTTAGAGAGTTGAAATTTATATGAATTATGGATATAAATAAATAGTGAGATTTAGATATATGCTTTGTATGTGAAGTCTTTTGAAGATATGAATTAATATATAAAGTGTTTGATAAAATAACTAACAGATCAAATGCATTATTGATTAAGTGAAAAGATTTAACATCATTAAATTTGGGTTTGCCATTGAATTAATCTCGATGAGGGTACAAATTGGGATTGTAACTCTAGGGCTGAATCATATGTGACAAATTTGGACAGAGTGGACTTTTACCATCGCCGTTTTGTACATTCATTGATATTATCATGTGTTACATGTGTTACCCAGTCCATCCCATCCAATCTACTTCATGTTTTGGCTTTTATTACCTACTCTAGTGAGTGATTAATATTTGTGGTCTGCTATAGCTAATAGAAATTTTTATGGAAAATAATACAGCCATTGATAATAGGGCACTGAATTTGTGCACTAAATAACGTGATAAAATCCTGACCGTTTATTAATTTTAACTTAATATTAATCAACGGTCAATATTTTACCACGTTATTCGGTGCACTACCGTCGGTGGCTATAACATTACTCAATTTTTATAGAGTTGAAAGAAACACTTTATTGACTAAGACAAAAGAATGTGGACCAAGCCACTATTGCCTTTGCTCGTGAAATTATAGAAAGAATAATACTACACATACATCATTCTTATACAACATTTCTCATACAACATTAGGTGGCAAGATATGATTGGCTAATTTAAAGTTAAAATTAAACTTTCACCTAATCATATCTTGCCACCTAATGTTGTATGAGAAATGTTATATGAGAATGATGTATGTGTAGTATTGTTATAGAAATTATAATTGGCTACAGATTTGTCTCTTTTGAATGCCCCTTTGTTTTACCATCTTGTGACCAAACTCACATAGTCTTTTATATTTTATGAATTTTTTCCCGAAACTGGAACCGTTGTTACAAATTCTAATTCCAGTTCCAAATTTTAGGAATCGATCAGTTTTGGTTCCTTTAAAAAATGTAGGGTGCTTGGTAGGGATGTTGCAAAGAACCAGTTGCAACCAAAACCGGTGGGTACCCTGGGTTTGGTTCCGGTTCCTACCCAGAACCAATCGTCAATGGGTAGATTTTGGTTCCAAATTTTTGGAACCGTTACTGTGCGGTTCCGATTCCGGTTCCGGTTCCTATAGTTAGGAACCGAAACCAGAACCAGGAACCAAGAGCCGAGACTAATATAAAATAAAATTAAAGATTAGGGGAGTTAATAAAAAATTTTGTAGAAAAAGTAATGTGAATACATTTATATTTATATTTCATAACATTTAAAGTAAGTTGGTTTGACTTTTGAGAATCTACCTTTACAAAGTAATGGAGTTTGTAATTTTGAATTTATAATTTGTAATTTTATTTTTGTTACAAGTGCCAGGTGGGGGGTAATTTGTAAGTTTTTACGGGTTTTTTTGCCATTTTAAAAACTTTTGGGAGGCCATGAATTTTACAATTTACCCAGAACCAGAACTGAAACTGTTGTTACAAGTTCTGGTTCTTGGTACCTAGGAACCGGAACCGATGGTTCTGATTTTGGTTCCAAATTTCAAGGAATCGTTGGTTCCAGTTCCGATTCCGATTCCTTCAAAAAGTGTAGGGTACTAAAAACCGAACAGCCCTAGTGCTTGGAACTGATCACCCCTACTTTTGGGCATACATAACTAGGATTTGAAAATCTTCTTTAAATATACACTAGAAATTAATTTGACAAGTTTTTTTTTTTTTTTTTTTAATCAGGATGTTTATACCAACTTGTGTACACCTTAACTAACGTCCAAGACCCATTTAACACTCTATAAGCCTAATATTCTAAGATAAGTCACAAATGTGATAAGTGACTCTAAGATAGTTTGAACCCATGAAAAAGTTACTGATTACACGCATTAGAAAAATTCAATCATATTATATTATATATATATATATATAATAATATATTATAATATATATAATTATATATAATGAGTCATCTATTCATTGATTATATCGATGCAATTAACTTAAAATAAAAATGGCATTTTTCATTGTATTGAAACAGTTATTTTTGTCTTTATCACACGACTCATATTTCATAAATCCCTTTTAATAAACCATTAATAATATTAAGTATGGATGAAGTATGGAATAGTATATTATTAGGAGGTTATTTGATATGTTTAAGTTAAAATATTGGAATGGATATTGGATGGGAAATAGGAAAGTGAGCAATTTGTAAGAGTAAACCAATTATTTCCCACCAAAAGGTTAGTCTTAATGCCAACTATTTCCCACCAAAGGTTTGTCTTAATGACACTTTCTTACCTAAAAAGTTTCAAAATACCAAATTGTCACCCAAACGTCAAGTTCTGGTAATAAATTCTGTCAAATATGGTAATTATAACTGAAAAAATGGAAATACAATTAAGGAATTGTTTTTATTATTATTATTATTATATGTCATATCAATGCATTCAATTACCAGTATATCCATTTTTAATTATGTAACTACTAATATATCCCCAAATATGTATAAAATTTAAATTATCAATTTGTCCTTAATGCTAAAAAACAATAAATAACCATTGAGATTTTAAGGGTGCATTTGTTTAAGTATTTTTGCAGTATCCTACCCAAAATACATATTTGTTTCCCTATTTTGAAAATCATATTCTATTTTATTCAATTACTTTTAAACCCCCTAAGTTTGTTAATTTAACTAAACACCCCCTCTAAAAAAAAGTTTAGAAATTGACAAAAAAACCCCCATCCACCAACATTTGCCAAATTTTAACCGCCATAGCTGACAAGTGGCCGGAATCTAGTATAATAGCACATTACCAACTGGATCTGGTTGGTAGTACGCCAATTTAACCTTTTTCGGCCAGATCTACAACCAAAGATCTAGCTATTGACTACCATATCTTTGGCCGTGGCTAGTTGTCAACGACGGCTAAGATATGGCCGTCGTTGGCCATCAACGATGACCATATTTTTTGACGGTCATTGACTACCAAACGCAACCAAATCTGGCTGTCAACGGCCAGATCTACCGATAGATCTGACCTTTTTCGACTAGATACACGATAGATCTAACTAGAAAATGCCATATCGGTGTACGATCGGCTAGATCCAGTCGATCGTGAGTCGATACAACAACTCCGACCACCCTCCAACGGTGATGACTGACTGTCAGTATTTAATGAGTGGGTGAAGGTATTTTTGTTAATTTTTAATATTTTATTATAAGGTTGTTTAGTAAATTAACAAACCTAAGAGAACGTTTTTGTTAATTTTCAAATCCTATCTCATAATAACCACCCAACTCTTTACTTTTTCAAAAATCTTATCCAAAATAAATAAAACAAACTTACCAAAATTTTGAAGTAGTTCATATTTACCATCTTGTCCATGTGTTTGATGCAAAATAAACTGACTGAATTTTATAAATTAAAACCCAGCGAGAGTGCAGATTCCAAAATCATAATGCAATCACTTGAATTGAAACCGATAAAAAAAAAAAAAAAAAAAAGGGAATGCAATTAAAATGTGTTCAATCTGGGGAAATAAACCAACATGTTTTAAAGGGGGAGAACAAAAAATGGAGTTAAAATCACTTCATTGTCATTATCACAAATCTCATTCAAAAATATCAAAGTCCATTAATTTTCATTGTCACAATTCTCATTCAAAAATATCAAAGCCAATTTAGTCTCCCTAGAGCAAAAATATGAGGCTTTAATTTTGGTTATAAATCTATGATCAGTAATATATACATAGAGCCAAAACATGACCAGTATTCAATCTTCGGGTCTCCTATATTGCCATCTTCACCTGAAATTTAGAAAGTAAAACCTTAAATCTACTATCTACATGTTCAGGATTATCACATATTTTTAAACCATATGATGTGTGGGAGGGTTATTTTGACTCATCAAACATTCATAAGAATAGATTCCAGTTTCCAGATTCAACAAACCACCAATGTACAATTGTACATAAGATATGAAAAAGAAATAAAATAAACTAAAATAAAGAAAACAAAGGTACTCTACAGAATCATTACGCCCCTACAATAACACAAAAATGTACACAACAGCATCTCCATGCTCGACAATGACATTATACACTGAATGAAGTAACCAAACCACATTGCGACCATGAAGATGTATTTATCATAATAGAAGAGTTTGCATTAGAACCAGAAAATTGCCATCAATATAAATAACTAAAGCAATTGAAACTTGAAATTAAGATGTAATGAGTTGCTTCAAGGAAATTGATATACCATCAAAAGAAAAATTATATTATCTATGTATACTGCCTAGACAGCTGCAAATTCAAGAAATTCAATTGCAAACCATTATTTAAAATTTCAGAAATATCATGCAACTAGCAGTGAACAACTATTACCCCGAATTCATTCACATACATATGTAATAATCAACAGAAATTTCCAAGGCTCATAAAAGAGTTGAACATCAACAATACAATAAAACAAGGTTAAAATGCAATTCTATAGGAAACAATGACTGGCAATTGAACAATAGGACTGAGAGCTTAACAAAAATTCAAGAGTAATTACGAAAAAGTGAATTACCTTCTCCTTAATTGACTTTGCTGGTTCAAAGTTCCACTATTTAAAGAGGCTGTGACCTTGCAGATTAAATGATAAAATTAAGGTTAGATGTTTGGCCTAATGACAGCGTAAAACTTAATATACTTGCTGCCACCTATGCTGTGAAGTTGTGGAGCATTGTTTTGATTTGAAGAAGCTACATTTGTTGATGAAGCTTCAAATCTGGCTCTTGAGGTTGATTTAGTCATTGTTGCTACATATGTTCTCTACAACATCCAAAATGGGAAACAACATTAGTAAGCTAATCAGCAAAATTAAAATAAACAAAACGAAAAAATTACAAATACCTTCTGGTTTTTCCTTTTATCTGCAGTAGTTGGATTCTCCTCGTAGGATCCTTTGTTATGGCAAATTCCATTGCAAATACTACATCTAAGTATGGAGATCATTTTATTGTTGGGTTCCTCAGTTGGATCTCTCTTTCTTGCCTTTGTTGGTTTGCCCGACTTGGCGTGCTTGAATGGTGGCCATAATTTTCATCACTCACATCAGGCCAAGTGGACTTGTCTGCACAGGATGGATCATATGAGCGTATGTTATATACAAAAAAAAAATGAAGATAACTTTACAAGTTACAAAAACAGATAAATGCACAGACAAAGAATCATGGCAGATTTCCTTAATTTCATAAATATTTACTATGATCTAGACTGGTCAGAACCTTACCATTTACATATACCATATGAATTAATGATCAATAACATTACAACCATGTTAAAACATGAAGACAAAATTGAAACATGAGACACACAAAATTAACCAAACCAAACCTAAGCCTAATAAAAAATTGGTGTATTTTTTCTAAGACTTGCTTACAAGAATTGGTGTATTTTGTTTCATTATTTAATAATAACACATAGTGGGTCTTACCGTGAGCCAATAAGATTATTGAAACAGACAACACCCTCCTCTTTTTCATTTTTGTTCAGTCCTTTTATAATTTCTTTATTTAAAATGATTTTTTGTAAAATGTCAAATACTTGAATTAAAAAAAAAAAAAAAAAAAAAAAAAAAAAAAAAAAAAAAAAAAAAAAAACCTTCTTATCGTGAATCATAATTTTAAAAGGGTGAACAAAAATAAGATTCAATCAAACCTCCATTTGTTTCTTCAATCAAGACTTCATTTGTATCTTAGGTCAGCAGAATCAAACAAAGAATAACAGCAAAACTAAAAAATGCTTCGGTAAGCAGATCCTTTTGTGAAAGTTTGTCTCATTTGTTTACGTTAAACAATTAATTATGACTTGCCTCTATGTCTGACACTATTAAGCAATAAGTATGATATAAATATATAATCAAATTAATTCCTATAAGAATTTTATTTCCTCAACTCACTTTTATGCGATGTGACAAAACAATAAAGAACATCTCCTTCTCTATTCACTAATCCATTCACTGACAACAAAAAACAGGACAAACAAAAATGGGTATAACCTCCCAAGTGTGGATTGATTATACAGAATAAACCATGGGAACTAATGAAATACCACCTGCATGATTTGGAGGAACTTTCTAAGGGAAAAAATGATTGTCAAACCACCTCTAACTTCAACTTTTGGCACATTAAAATAACCTCAGTTTGTCCAGCTACACAATAACAAAACAAACACACAAAGGTTAAAACATTATAACTGTCATTGCATGAACTACAAACTTAAGCTAACAGCCACACAGTTGTGAACAGTGTAAATTCACAAAAATTACAACACTTGAACAGTGGTGAAGGCTTACTACTTCCAGACAGGAGAACCTTTTTTTTTTTCATTGCTCTAGGGAGCAATCCTCTCGATCTTGCTCTCAACAACAACCAAACGGTTTGTCCTTCCTCTTCCTAACAAACGCAGAAGCTTGCTTCCAGTAATGCTCTTGCACTTAGCATTACCATGAGAGTCCGGAAGAATAACACCGATTTCAGCAAGAGTCAGACCCGTCTTTCCAAACTTGTGACTCTTATCCTCGACCTAACTAATCAAAACAAAGTTTTTTTTTTTTTTAGCAAACAGTATCATCAAATCACCACAAAACAAACATATTCCTTTGTATTAAACACTATCGTAAACTAAAAGGATAAACATAATTTTACGCCATAAACCCTAAGGTACACAAAAACAATAAACATACTTCCTACCATTAACCAAATCGTAAACAAAACAGCAAAACGAAAAACACTTTTCTTTCCAACCCGACCTACAGTAAATGAAAACAAAAAAAGTATAAACAAACGTGATTACCTCCAAAAGTTCAAACACTCGCACCCTTAAACCCTATCGTTGACAACGTCAATGATTACGAACTTCAAAAGTTGCGACTCAGAAGACCAACTTGTCACTAGAAGTCACGGAAAACCTCATCGATCGCCGGAAAAAGTCGTTGTCAACAACCCTTAACTCCTACCGTTAACATTGTACACGAACGCAAAACGCTAAACTCGCCAACCGCTACTCCACTGCCAGTCTACCTCGCCGTTAACACTCACCGGTCGCCGTAAACAGTCACCAGAAGGCAATCGAAGACGTCAACAGAAAACCCAACAGTCGCCGCTTCCAGAACACGTAAATATCAAGAGGTTTTTGCGTTTTTCCTTTTCTTTCAAATGTAAAACTCTCATGGACACCTGTCAATGCCCCAACCGTACACTTCAATTTCAAATTTTAATTTTTTATTGCCCTTACTTTTATTAGTCAATGACCATTATATCCTTTTATATGAAGAAAACTACCAACGGAACTCTCATGGATAGCAATTTTGATATTTTGACACTTTTAAGGTGGGAAAGTGTCATTAAAGCAAACCTTGGGTGGGAAATAGTCGTTTACTCTAATCTGTAATGTCAAAACATTATGAGTAATACTACAGTTACACTACTCTCTTACATAATTTTTATTATATCATGATGAGACATATGTCACAATTAGACCTGACAAAACGGGTGGGTGGGTCGGGTACGGGTCAAACCAGTACATATCTATATATGGGTCCAAAATATTGGACTCGTGCCCTACCCTATACGAGTATGGGTGGACCTGTTTTTTCTCTCTCCAAATTTTGTTTTTACGTTTCACCCCTAATAGTTTTTAATTATGATAATTACACCCTCAAAATTCTTGCAATTTTATTTTTTTACATTTACACCCCGTAAATCAACTCTTTTAAGTTGACAGCTCCATTGCCTCAATACAAATATACAAATGTTGGCATGAGTTTGCCTCGCAGCCAAATGAATTACCAAGGTCATGAACAAAGCCATCAATGGTGCATGCCTTGCCTAGTACACAGTAATTTAATGCACTAAATTGTCAACTTTAGAGTAGAGAAACACGTTTTTTCAATACTAATCAGAGTCATCGGCATATAGACGCCTATGATTTACCACCAGTTACACAAAATAAGCAAACAGAAAATATTGTTGCATATGACAAAAACAATTGCATGAAGGATAAGTTTTCAACTCGTTTTATTAGGGTGAACAAGAAGATACGAGGCACTTTAATTTTCCCAAATAAAAAACACCTCTCTTCTAATTTCGGAGATTGCTTCAAAACAAAACTGTGTCTCACGTTTAAAGTTGAACAAGCTAGTTTAATCATCACACAATCTCAGGATGGTATATCATATCTCAGATCTTGGAATCTCAAATCTTGGAATCTCTTCAGTAGGCTTGACTTGAATTTCTCGATTTCAGTCTTAAAGGATTCTGGGGTGGACCCCAAAAATAATATTGCCCCATCAGAGGAACGTGGAGTGGATTTTATTACTGATATTGCCCCAGCACGGTGTAAAGCTCCAACTGCTTCATCTGTGTAACAGGGCAATGGGAAAACAAATATTTGCAATAATAGACATCACTTACTCCATTCCACATTTCAAACACAAAAGTCTTATGGATCTCTACATTCAATTTGCCCACTTCAGGGCATAATATAGCTTCTCATGGGTGATTACTCATGGTTCACTTACCCTACACAAGTTTGCCTCTCAACTATTGTTTGACAGATACAACATATTAGTAAATGTTATCATATTCTCTTTTATATCCATAGATTAGCTCATAAGAGCATCTGAAATGCAAAGATAACTAACCTGAGCCAGAAAGGGTAGCAAGAGCCTTCAGTGCTCCTATCCGTGTATCATAGTTTTTAGCATCCCCCAACATATATACAAGCTCTTGCGCACCACCAATCTCCACTATGTTCATCCTTATTTCATCTGTGACCAATAGCAAAACAAAATTACAATATCAGATGCAGTCTATAAACAATCTCCAATCTTAACAATAATGTCATTAAAGAAGAAAGAACAAACTTTTACCATCTGTTACAAAATGGGCTACTTTATGAGCTCCCACAGCTTTAACAAAGGGAAAATTGGATTCCAAAAGTAACATAGCATGTCGCATCTTCAAATTATCTCCTAAGTTTAGGAAATCATAGGATTAAGTTAAGAACCCTTCAAAGGCATAAAATTTCAATAACATAAGCTAGTCGAAAACCAAGGCAATTGTTTACCAGCCGACGACGTGAGAGAGAGGAGATGACCAGCCGACGAGGATGAGTGATGGCGACCGACGACTGTGGTACTGGGAATGGGAATGACGAACTGGATGACTAACAAGTGACGAACTGACGATTAATCAAAGAGGGAGACAGGGAGTTGAACTTGAGGTACGAAGAAGATGGCAAAGACTAAAGAGGGAGGTACTCAGTTGACTGATGAGAGATTGAGAGGCGGGAGAGAATTGAGTTTCTGAGAGTTTGAGAGATGAGATGCGGGCGAGTTACGGAGAGTGAGGGATGAGAGGCGTGATAAAATTAGGGGTTAGGGATTCTTTGCAAAAACGGGTACCCGCGGGTTCACCCATTTAACCCATCAGTTATACGGGCCGGGTCAGGTACGGGTCCCAAAAAAATGGGTTTAATATATTGGACCCGTACCCTATATTTTTTAACTGAGTATGGGCCGACCCATGGGTCTGAACCCGTTTTGCCAGGTCTAGTCACAATCATATAAAATTTTAATTATTTTGAATTTTTAATATTATAATAGAATTTGTGTGGTTGTGACATATATTACATCATGATGTAATAAAAATGATGTAAAAAAATAGTATAAATGTAGCATTACTCAAACATTATAGAGAGAAAGGAGATGGGATTTGGTCTCTTATATATGGGCATGTCATTTATTCAGATTGGCTTTTCATTTTTATAACAAACCGGCAGTTTAGACTGCATCATTCAAATACTTCCCACTAGGGCTTGGCAGAAGCCATAGGACCAGAGTCTCTCTCTTTTACCATGCACTTTCATTTCAGAGACTTTCTAGTAAATTTCTGTTCATAGTGACCATGCGGCGGGCATTTGGTCTAGTGGTATGATTCTCGCTTAGGGTGCGAGAGGTCCCGAGTTCAATTCTCGGAATGCCCCAAAGTCTGTGCTCTTTTTTCGGGTTTTTCCTTTACTTACTTCTGAAGAGTTGTGTATTCTTCCACACCCGAAAATTTTGAAAAGTATAGAAAACCACCCTAGCCGCTTATCCTTTTTTTTATAATGGTTAGGTGAATTACTTACCAAGGTTTGTAGTTGAGAGTTGTTTGGCTTCCTTATTGACTTCATGATTGATTTGTTGAGTGGATCTGTTGGATTTTATAGGCTTGTATTAAATGAGTGAATTTATATATCATTGATTTAGTTGGGAATTTGAGTATAGAAATTTTGAGACATCCTCCTTTTTGTCCCTAAAAAAAATTTTGAGTTATATAAAATTTGGCATGAAGTGCAAGTAGATCCATTTTATGAGAAGGTTAGCAATTAAATTAATTTATTATCGACTTGGGTCTTGGCTTGACCAAATCAAATGAAGTACCCAAGCTTCATTTAATAAAAAAACTCAATTGGTAATATATTTATGATTATTATTTTATATCATAAATGATTTTATTTCGTTAATAGAAATGATCTCCAATTGTTGATCAATCAAATGCGAAAGGGAATGAATATCAATATGTCAAATAGTTTGTAGAAGGCATGAAATAAATGAATTGATAAAAAAGTTTAGGAGGGGGTAATGAGTGAGAGAGAGGAAATATTAAGTAAAGTGAAAAGAATATAAAGTAATATATCATGATAAAATGATTAGGTTTGGGACCTGAACAAATTAAGAAAGAGCATTTTTTTAGACTGAGTAACAAATAATTTAGAGTAATACTACACATACAATATTTTTATACAATATTATGTGATAAAATATGATTGACTGATTTTAAATTAAAATTAAACTTTCACCCAATTATCTTTTGCCACATAATATTGCATGAGAATGTTGTATATGTTGTATTATGAAATAATTTAATTGGAACTGAATGGCTGGTTTGGTTGAAAATTTGGGGGTTTTGGGAAAAGTTTTTTGAAAAAAGTTAAAAAAAAGTTGAATTGGGCGGGTATTACGACGGTAAAATTTATAAATTAATAAATCTCCTTTAGTTTGTTTTTTTTACAAAATACCCCATAATAAACATTAAAAGTTAACAAAAATACCCTAACCTACCCTCAAACACCCCCAGCGCGCACCACCGGAGGTGGCCGAGTCACCGTATGGGCGCATGACGGTTGGATCTTGCCGGTCATGCGTCGCTATGGCCTTTTCCGGCCAGACCACGGTGGATCTGGCCGGAAAAGGCCAGATCTACGGTCAGATCGGCCGTCAACGGCCAGATCTGGCCGTATTTACTCGTCACGATGGCCAAAAACGGTCGTCGTTTATGGTCAACGACGACCGTTTGTTGGCCGTCGTGACCGAGTGTTACGGCCAAAGATCTGGCCGTCAACGGCCAGATCTTTGGCCTTAGATCTGGCCTTTTCCGGCCAGATCCACCGTGGATTGGCCGGAAAAGGCTAGATCGGCGCACTGCCGGCCAGATTCAGCCGGTGTGCGCCATTACCAGATTCCGGCCATTTTCCGGTGGTGGTGGCCGGAATCTGGTAAATTGGATTATTGGGGTGTTTTTGTAATTTAAAAAAAATATTTAGGGGTATTTAATTAAATTATCAAATTTAAAGGGTTTAAAAAAAGTTGAATAATTTTGGGAGTAGTATTCCCAAAAATCTGAAATTTTGGGAATTTACTGTTTAACTTTTTGGGAATACTAAAAGTAGTTCCCAAAAGTTTACCAAACGCAGCCAATAATTTTTTTCAATATTCTGGATGTGTTATACTTTTTAAAAAGATGGGTGCCCATAGATTTGAGCATTTCTCGGGGGGTGGGAAAAATTATTGAAAGAAATTAAAAAATGTTCGCTAGAAGGAGGGGTCGAACCTCCGACCTTATGGTTAACAGCCATACGCTCTAACCAACTGAGCTATTCCAGCTTCTTGTTCTTGAGCCCAAACCAAAACATCTAATAATAAATATCAGTCGTCATCCACGTGACTGGAGTAACGCGGGCGGGTAACCATTGGTTATCAATACCGGTTCGCGGTGATTCTCTTCAATTCCGCCAAATCAACCACCATCTCCACCTCCCAAGACCACCGCTTACAACAAACCTTAACTCTTAAACTCAACGAATCTTCATCACCACCCTGCCACAAGACTATTATCAGTTTTTCGCCCGTTTATTCAATTCTAACGCCAAACAAAACATGACAGAAGACAGCGCTCCTAGGGTTTCCTCCGACCACTCCGCCCTCTCGACGGACGCTTGCCAAATTAAGCAAAGGTAGTCAGCTTAAAATCCTAAAATCCGTTGTCCTTTTCTTCTCTCGTAATTACAAATTGAAAATTGTTTTATTTCGATGCATCTTTTTGAGGTTCTTGAATTACTCTCTTTATTTTAATAAAACCGTTCCTTATTGGTGAGTAATTGTTTAATTTTTTTTCCATTATGTTGAGACTGAAAATGAAAATATTCATCTGTTTTGCAATGCTTGTTTGTGAATAATTTTTTTTCCTACTAATTGTAGAAAATGGTTTCTAATTGGTGAGTGACTTGTTAATTCGTTAGGTTGTAGCTAGGTTGAGAATGATTTTATTTGAATTGACCTGTTTCGCAATGCTTTTGTTTGTTTGTAGGAAAAAGAGGAAGTGGGATCAGCCTGCGGAGTCGTTAGTTAACTACCCGTTGGGCAACATGGGATCCCTTGTTGGGGTTCTGCCGTCGGGCGTGGCTCCATCTGTCTCTGCTGCTGCCGCATTTTTGACAAATCCAATAGGGGCTAGTGGTGTGGCCATTCCACCTGTGGCGCTTCAGGGCCCTTCTGTGCCGAAATTAAGTCAGGTGACATATGTTGCTTTATGGGGTTCCTTAATTGTCTCAATTTTGTTGCATTTTTTGTGATAATTTTTTGTAATGTTACCGGACACATAATATGAATTGTACACGAAACTGTTTCAGTAATACATAGAGTGTGATTTGTAAGTGCTACTATTTTCATGTTGTGACTGATCTAGTAACATGAAGGCGAAAGTACCATAGTGCTTCTCACTAGGCAAATACACGGTTTATGCTCAGACCCATATGCGTTTGTGTTGTGTTCTTTAATACAAAGAATTTTGAGCTACATATTTTTGTGGACTGCTGATAAAATAAATGAATGAAAAATTTAATCTCCATTATGTTCAGATGCAATACAAGATAGAATCGGTTTCATAAGATTTAAAGTTCAAATCCCTTTGGTTTTTTAAGTAGCAGGCAAGATGTCTATTCAGATAGTCATTGGGAAGGTCTTGGTTTCTTATCCTGAGTTAAGAATCACTTGGATTGGCCTGTTCTGTATTTTTTGAACTTCTGGGTGTTCTGTGTGTTAAGTGTCCTATATATTGAAAGCTCTACTGTAACCTCCAGTGGGAAAATTCTATGGTCCTACCAGTATAGTTGGCTGAAAGGAGTTTTCTTTTTGGCCTCTTTGAAGTTGTGCCCTTCACATATTTTCTTCAAGCACCCAATGATAGGTGATTAGAGACCTCTATATTGCTGTGATATGGACCAGAAAGGAAAATTATATGGTCCATATTATTATTATGTTTGTACTCTCTTATAAGTTTTTGTTGAACCTTGGCATATATTTCAATTGATTTGGCATTGTAATTGTAAAGTTTGCAACTTACGTCATTTAAGGCTTATTTTACATTTCTTTTAAGGATTATGAATGGAATTTTTCATTGTTGTTTTCTTTTCAGCCTAAGATTCAAGATGAGTTAATAATTGCACGAGAAATTGTTATAAATGATGCCGAATCTTCTGTTCGCTACAAACTTACTAAACGCCAAACACAGGAGGAGGTGAGTTTGATTTTCTTATTTTTGTTTGACTGAAGGATAAGTAATCTATTGTTATTATAATTGAGGACTAGCCATTTATTTCTTGAGGACATTGATACATTTATTCTGTTCTTGCAGATTCAGAAATGCACTGGTGCTGTGGTAATAACTAGGTTTGTGGGCCTTTACAGGATTATAAGATGAAGTTTTCTGATGGCTTCTCTCTTTCTCTTAGATTTTTTATACATATGTGGCATTGCCTTTGCAGGGGTAAATATCGTCCACCAAATGCACCAACTGATGGAGAAAAGCCATTATATCTTCACATATCTTCTGGGGCTCATGTAAGTATGAGGGATTGATTTCTTATGGAGCATTTAACAATAGTTTGGTTGGGATTTGGAGTTCTAATCATGCTGTATGGATTTATATTATATAAACTTTTGATTATGTTGAGAAAATAAGTTTCCATTGCAATCTTGGACATGATATTTTAGAATCCATGCAAAATGCAAAATGATAAAAAAAAAAAAAAAAAGAAAAAAGTATCTGACCATTCAGACTTCTCTGATTGAGTTTGATGGTATTAATGAGCCAGTGAGAGCTAGTTTTCTGGTATTATCTTTCTCAAGAACCTAGGTAATTGGACTTTTGATGACGTGAATGTGTGAGATGTTTACATGGTAGCGGAGGTTTGTGATCACATATAGAATAAGATTGTTGAAGAATGTTCAAATATTTTTCGAACTTCTAAATAACTTGTTTTTAGACAACTTTTTATTCTGTGCCTCCAAAAAGCTAAACATTTTGTTCAGCAATCTTTGAGGTACTTATTCATACTTCGTCTTGCTTTGTGTTTCAAAAATAATGAAAATTCTAAGATCCAATTTTCCTCTCTAATATTTTAGAACTGATTTTATTTTATTTTATTGTTAAATTATGGATTACTTCTTCAGTTGAAAGAGACAGCAGAAAGGATTTTGGCGGTTGATCGTGCAGCTGCCATGGTTGAAGAAATGCTGAAGCAGGGTCAGAATGGTTTTCCCACTTTGCTAAGTATGAGCAACGGGGTGAAGGTATACCTGCATCACACCACTGGGTTTGTGAGTTATGACATATTTCAACATTTTAAATCTCTACTTAAATTTGGTTGCACAGGAACTCAGCACATGTGTGTTTTTAAGCTTTGAGCCTGATCCATCATTGAACATTGCTGCTCGTATTCGTGGACCAAATGTGAGATTTCTCTTTTCCTTCCATTGTTCACATCGTCTGCATATGTGTAATCTTCTTAAGAGATTTGGAGTTGTTTCTCTCTCTCTCTCTCTCTACATATATATATAACAGCTGCTTTTGCTGTTTTGACTCTGGAACTTTATGGTAATATCTGCTAGCTGTGTTATATAGTATTTTGCATTTTTTCCCGTCATTTATTGTTATTATTATTTTTTCGCTTTCATCTACTCATTTACTGGTTTGATCTGAACTGTTTAGTTTGTTCATTTTGAATTTTATGTTTACATGATGAAGACAAGAGATTCTAATGTTTTAAACTTTCTCTGACATCTCCATATGATTGGGAGAGATTGTTTTTGCGTTGCTGGTGGTTCCGTTTTGTACATGCAGGACCAGTATATAAATCACATTATGAATGAAACAGGAGCAACTGTCTTATTAAGAGGGCGTGGTTCGGGTAACTTTGAAGGCCTGCATGGCGAAGGTACTAGTTTGCTGTATCTGTTGTGATTTATTGCAAGTGTATTGATTTTTACCTCTGGGAGTTCTCTTAAAATGTATTTTAATATATCCTCCATTCTGGTTGCAGATGTGCATCAACCACTGCATTTATTCTTGTCCAGTAGCAATCCTAAAAGTCTGGAAGATGCAAAGCGTTTGGCTGAGAATCTTTTGGATACAATTAGTGTAGAGTGTGGTGCCTCCAGGTAATATGGTTTCATTTTGCGGTGGTATAAGGTGTTTGATGCGTACTGCTATGGGTTTATGTCTGTTCTAAATCTCCCAAAAAAGTGAGAGAATGAGATTTTTGCTTCCATCAATTGATAGCTTGGATTCGGAATTGGACAATGTAAAACTGACATTTACTTGAAAGTTCTGCAGTAATAGATTTCTGTGTCTTACTCTGTTGCATTTTGATCATTTCATAGTTTTGTTCTCTTTGGATGAGATCTTCTTTATGTTAACAGATGTTGATCATGATCACATTGGTCTGCTATGCATGGTAGTATGTAATTTTATATAAGGAATAATGCGGTTTTTTGTTTGCCTATATTAGGGTTTCATCATCCAAAGTCTATAATGCTGTTCCACCCCCACAACAGTTATTGTCTGGCATTCAGAGTAATGGGGATGAACAAAAACTAAATGCAACTTCTGGTTCTGGATTGACATCAACAGTGAGCATTGCACCAGTTCCTGCAGTTTCTTCTGTTACCGCCCCTGGGGTTGCTACTGTCTCTTCTCAAGGCACTCCGGTACAGTCTGGAGGAATGATGAACCGTGCACAGCCCCAACAAAATATGGTTGGTTACCCCCAGCCTATATTAACTGGAGGAACAAGCTATAGTGGATATGAAGGGATATATCCTCAGGCAACACCTTTACAGCAAGTTGCCCTAGCCCTCAGACATTCATCTGCTCCCATCACCTCATCAGTCACTCCAGCAACATCAGTCACTCCAGCAACAGCAGTCTCAAACCCAGGAACAAAATCAAATATTAGTTTCACGTCTGAGAAGGAGAAACGGCCTCCACAGAAGAGAAAGTTTCAGGAGTTACCAGTTGGTTCCAAGGGCCCTGCAAAACTCTATCAGGTATCAGTGCATTTTTTCCCTACTAGCTTGTTTTAAGACAAAGCTGTGATTTTATATTTTATTAACACTGAAGGAGGGAGGGGAAAAAATGAGGTCAAAGGTAGACAAGGCGTATACGTACAAATTCAACTTTCAAGAAATTATGGGGGGAGGAGAAAAAAAAAAAAAAGAAAAATGAGGTCAAAGATAGATAAGGTTTATACATTCAAAAAAAAAAAAAAAGAAAAATGAGGTCAAAGATAGATAAGGTTTATACATTCAAATTTAAATTTTAAGAAATTAGTGTCTTTGCTGTTAGTTTCCTGAAATATTTGGATACTATGTTATGCCAAGTTTTGCAAAAGCAAGCTGAACTGCTCTTGTTTCTTTCTTGCAAGCAATTGTCAGAGAATATGTATATTATTGTAAATAAACTTAGTGGATAAGTTATCCAGTACAAAAATAACCCATCTAAAGAGGGACTAAAGCTTTACAAAGTGTACCATGAACCTGTACAAAAAGAAACCCCCCCACCCCATTACCACGGCATGAGCGAATCCTGAATAACCAGAAAACTTGCTACAGCTAACCAATTAAGATATATAAAGAAAAAAGAGGTTTCCTTAAAAGTCTTTTGAGACAAGCCCAAAGAGAAGCTAAAAATTTAATCTTACTGTATAGCACCAGTTTCTTCTTCTCCAGTGTCTTGGTTCTTTTTTGGTGGCACATTAACAGAGATAGGTGGTGTGTCCATTGGTGAAAGTCTTAGGTTAGAGAAGCAAAGTAGCTCATGCAGAAGGTTTGGGATAAGATATTAGGACCCTGCATGAGCCTTTATTTTCCTTTTTCTTTTCAGTTGTTTGAGTGTTGTTGGTAGGGTGGATGGATTATAGTTGCCTATGGTAGGGGTAACCAGAAAAAAAAAAGGTTTGTTACATTCACCGGTAACAAACTTAGGTAGGGATTTCTGTTGGGGAAATAACATTCAACCAGGAAAAAACTGAGTTGAACTTTGGTGGTATTCATTCCTTTTGCCCAGTCTGAGTGTATTTCACTTTGTTGGTTCACGTGCAACTGAGTGTGAGAGGGAGAGGAAGTGGAAGATGGTGGATTTGGAAAGTAAAAAATGAAGCAAATAATAGTATTACATGATTGTTAAAAGAAAAAAAAATAGCTGTTAAAATTGTTATTTTGAGTGAGGAACAGGGAGGGAGAAACAGTTGGATCCAGAAAGGTAACTATATCAGCACCCTCTGCCACTATTACATGAGTAAAATTTTAGGTCGTGGTGTGGAGTTATGATTATGAATTATCTATGCACACTGTTTTTACCACTGGATGAAATTTGTTTATCAATTTTATGTATAAACTAATAGATGGATGCATTGGTTAGTGTAAGTGCACGTGTAAGTGCATATGTGCACGTGTAAGTGCATATGTTTTTGTGACTTCTTTACTCTTTTATCATCCTGAAAATATTAATCAAGAAAAACAACTACATTAGGGAATACCTTTGATGCAGTGCTGTTTTATATTTTTTTTCTTTTTCCTTAAATTGCATTCATGTTTTTTAGCTGACATTCTCTGCTTAATGTTCCAGGTATTTTCTTTGACCTTCTAAGAAGCTAACAGGCTGATTCCGTACCTCTGTTTGGGCCATTGGTTTGTATGTTTAACAGGGTTTACAGTTTTGGAGCCCGTACTTGGTGGGTCTTTGCTGCTTCAGAGCTAAGATGAGGGGCCAATTCAAGATTTTTATTCTGTTGATTGATTTATATTTGCTGCTGCCAGTTCCCTTGTTTTTTCCTTTCTTTTGAATGCTGGCATGTTGATGGTTGTGTACTTTGTTTGCAAGATTGCATGCTATTGCTTGTCAACCATCAGAAGTCATTGGATTGACCACACTGGAAACATTGGTTTTTGGAAAAACGTTTCACAAATACACACTGAAGTTAAATATATTTATCAATTTATGACTATGAGATATTGTCATATATTTCAACCTCAGATCTCAGAAATTGGGTTCTTCCCAACCTAATCCTTTTGGTATCCCAATATTTGATTTCAAAATGTGAAGCTTATACTCTGACCTATATGACCTAGAATCTTATATGCTAACTGAAAAATCAAGTTCAACAGCGTGCAGTAATTTGAATATTCTCCATATATGTAATACTTCTCTCTACATTTCATCCTAAATTACCCTTGTAATGTTTGTGTGGTAAATTTTAGGTTTTCATTGCTTTGTTGACATTTTATATATTCAAGTCCTATTGTGATTGAGAAATTAGGCTTGGGTTTTCTTTCTCTAACTTGTTGCAGGGAGCAGAACTATTAAACCCAAGTGAACTATCAGCTGATGTGGAGTTGAGAAATGTATCAAGTATGCCGGCTCCAAAGAGGTTGGTCCAGTCAGCAGTCAATGGAATGCCCCCTCCGCCTCTAAGAAGCATGCCCCCACCACCCCCACCAAAATTTATTTCATCAACACCTGCTCCTAAATTTCAGGACAAGGGCAGAAGTTTGAATAAAATGCAATCTGAAAATATCCCTGGTAAGGATGGACAATTGCTGTGCCTTATTTTCACCCTTTTTCAGGTGATTAATTTCATGGCATAACTTGAGGAATGCTATGATATTTATGATGCACATGGAAGAGGTTATTTTGCCTCTTATCTCCACGATAGAAGGTTTCTTTAGCTGATCACCTTTGTTGTCCTCCTAATTCTGTTCTATTTTGTTATCCAAATCATTAGTTGTTTCAGATACTCTGGTCAAGCTGATGGAATACGGAGAAGATGATGATGACCTGGAGGAAACCGGCGAAGAATCCCTTACCTCTGACTCCTCATTTAGTCTCAACTCAAATAAAGTAGCTGTTAGAAAACCATTTTGGGCTTTATGACTTATTCAGCTGGTGGATTATTGGAAGTGGAAGTGCTTCTTTTGGGCTTTGTTCTAATCATGTATGAGTGGAGCTTGTGAAGTTGTGTAGAATTTGGACGGGAGCGTGTAACGAAGTCATGTGTCGTATAATTCTCCTTCTTGCTGTACGACATTCCTAAGGTTTGAATGTTGTGGTGTTGGCTGTAATGCGGTTTAGGGAGGCGTGGAAGATTGTTGTATTTTCTTGGGCTTAGGTGTACATTAGTAGTTTTTCCATTGTCTTGCCGTTAGGAGTAGAGTTTTAATCATTTGCCAACTCATGTGGTAACAAAGCGTTGGCAGAAGACTCGGGAATAAAAAGTTAGCTGCCAAAATATCTGAAGCAAGATGTATGACACACCTTTGAAACTGCAAAATTAAAATAGTCTTTTCAACATTTTGAGTTTAATTCAATGCTGATGATTACTAATTATCTTCTTAATTTAGCATTTTGTGTTTACGCCTTCTGTTTGGGCACGTATACTTATCTCTGTCCTTTCCATAGAAGTCGTGATATCATGAGTCCATAAAAGGTGTGATCTTACGTTGAGATTTTCTTATTAATGTTTCAAGTCTTTCAACTTATCTTCCAAAAACCTTGAATATTTCTAAGCCAATAATGCTATGCTTACTTATGAAACTTACGAATGATATTATTCATCTTTGTTAAAATTACATATGGTATTTGTATTATGCTTATGATATCTTTATTATGCTTTATATTTACCAAGGTGAGTAAGGTGGTTAGTAAGTTCGTGAGTAAGCATAACATTATTGATTTCTAAGCTGGATTGTACATGTATTTTTCCTTTCAATCAATTACTGTTGGACTAAACAATTACTAGATAATTTGATGACAAAAGAGTAAAGAATGATTTAACATAATCTTTTAAATTCGAGTCTTCTTGATAGTCAAAAAGCAAGAGGAGGAATAGTTGTTATTTCATAAGAAATAATCATTCGTTATGAATAAACGGTTCTTTCAAGAAAACGATCGTTTATGTTTAGTCAAAATTATTTAATGTCTTTAGTGTAATAAAAATTGTAATAATAATTACTAACTCAACTGTCACGTTTGAATTGTNTTTCTTTAGCTGATCACCTTTGTTGTCCTCCTAATTCTGTTCTATTTTGTTATCCAAATCATTAGTTGTTTCAGATACTCTGGTCAAGCTGATGGAATACGGAGAAGATGATGATGACCTGGAGGAAACCGGCGAAGAATCCCTTACCTCTGACTCCTCATTTAGTCTCAACTCAAATAAAGTAGCTGTTAGAAAACCATTTTGGGCTTTATGACTTATTCAGCTGGTGGATTATTGGAAGTGGAAGTGCTTCTTTTGGGCTTTGTTCTAATCATGTATGAGTGGAGCTTGTGAAGTTGTGTAGAATTTGGACGGGAGCGTGTAACGAAGTCATGTGTCGTATAATTCTCCTTCTTGCTGTACGACATTCCTAAGGTTTGAATGTTGTGGTGTTGGCTGTAATGCGGTTTAGGGAGGCGTGGAAGATTGTTGTATTTTCTTGGGCTTAGGTGTACATTAGTAGTTTTTCCATTGTCTTGCCGTTAGGAGTAGAGTTTTAATCATTTGCCAACTCATGTGGTAACAAAGCGTTGGCAGAAGACTCGGGAATAAAAAGTTAGCTGCCAAAATATCTGAAGCAAGATGTATGACACACCTTTGAAACTGCAAAATTAAAATAGTCTTTTCAACATTTTGAGTTTAATTCAATGCTGATGATTACTAATTATCTTCTTAATTTAGCATTTTGTGTTTACGCCTTCTGTTTGGGCACGTATACTTATCTCTGTCCTTTCCATAGAAGTCGTGATATCATGAGTCCATAAAAGGTGTGATCTTACGTTGAGATTTTCTTATTAATGTTTCAAGTCTTTCAACTTATCTTCCAAAAACCTTGAATATTTCTAAGCCAATAATGCTATGCTTACTTATGAAACTTACGAATGATATTATTCATCTTTGTTAAAATTACATATGGTATTTGTATTATGCTTATGATATCTTTATTATGCTTTATATTTACCAAGGTGAGTAAGGTGGTTAGTAAGTTCGTGAGTAAGCATAACATTATTGATTTCTAAGCTGGATTGTACATGTATTTTTCCTTTCAATCAATTACTGTTGGACTAAACAATTACTAGATAATTTGATGACAAAAGAGTAAAGAATGATTTAACATAATCTTTTAAATTCGAGTCTTCTTGATAGTCAAAAAGCAAGAGGAGGAATAGTTGTTATTTCATAAGAAATAATCATTCGTTATGAATAAACGGTTCTTTCAAGAAAACGATCGTTTATGTTTAGTCAAAATTATTTAATGTCTTTAGTGTAATAAAAATTGTAATAATAATTACTAACTCAACTGTCACGTTTGAATTGTAAAAAAAAATTTTAACAATACGTATGTGGCCTAAGAATGAGCAAAGTGTCATTCAAGCTTAACTTGCAAGACTTGCACAATGATTTTCGAGGGTAGTGTAGAAAGTCAAGTTTTAGCATTTTGACTTGTTGACTAGCTCACACCCAGCAATTCCATTTAGGTTTAATATACTGAGCTCCAAGTCGTTTATGCTCGCTGTAAGCTTGATATAAAGAGTGTTTGTACTTGAAAGCGTTCAATTAATAAAAGTTTCCTCAATTTGAAGTTTTTTCCACTGGTATTAGAGCATTTTGACAACGTCTTTAGGGAAAATTTTCATTCATTTTCTCACCTTCCAAACACTGATGAGAAAATTTCTTCCGTTTTAAGAACTTGCAAATTTACAATCTGATAAATTGTTGTCATAACTCCTCCACAAATAACTTAACCATTGTCATTCCTCTTTCTATTAAACTGATTGTGACAATTATCGATATTGTATTCTCTTGTTCTTTCTACAACTCGCAACAATAAACTTGAGTCGTTCTACTTGTTTAATATAATGTCTAGATCCATTTGTGATAGTGAAGATCTCGAAGTCAGAAAAGATAGATGATTCTATCAAAAACCTAATCCTGACTATGTCATTGAATAAAACAAAGAATCGTTGTTCAGCTGGCTATGGCTTTTATCTCAGAGCTAAGTATAGCTATATTCTCGATGTCAAACTTCGTCTAAAATTTGGATTACTCTGTGAAATTTCATCGAATAGTTGTAAAGTCGATACAATTATTTTAAACATCATTATAAACTATGAAAAGGATCATTGTCATTATGAACTTTTATTTCTGATGATAACTGTTGGATTTTATCTTAGATGGATTGATTTTGAAGCTGTTTTATGAATCAACATCTCGAATGGTGTCAATTTCTTACGGTTGATTTGCATTCTGGAAATTCGGTACAATTTGCTGCTGTAAAGTAATCCAGTATCTCAAAACACACTCTTCCTCAAGCTCATCTAATTGCTGCGAAATAGTTTGGATTATTTTCTGGCGCTCAATTTAATCGAAATGTGAATAGAGGTGGCTACAGAATGCTTCAGAGGAAGAGATAGAGGAGGACGTTCTAATAATAACAAAGGGAAAATAATTTGTCGATTGTGTGGAAAGTCAAATCATGGTGCTTGGCAGTGCTATCACAGTATGATATAAGTTTTCAAGATCCTTCAAATGTTATCACTGGCCTAGTCAACAGACGCAGACTACTGTTTTTCTTCTCAAGAACATCAGTCATCGCAGCAAACGTTCTTCTATGCCTCAACAACACTACAATTGTCTCAATCACGATTTTTCCAGCCATCAATTGTGAACATAATGCACAATTTCCTTCACTTCTTATGCACAGTACCAAACACTCTGAATGCTCCGAATTTTAAGCTTCTCAGGCATGATTGCTAATCCTACTCACTTGTGGATCCTAATTGGTACATTGACAGTGAAGCCACCAATCATGTCACCTCAATTTAAGCAACTTAACATCAATTCAGCCTTCAAGGTCTAGATACATTGACTGTTGGAAATGGTAACACCTTACCTATAGTCCATAGTGGTCTATTAAATTGCGTACAACTGCTTCTTCAATTTTTGCTGTTACAACATTCTTCATGTGCCTGAAATTACCAAAAAATTGATTTGTGTACCTAAATTGCTTGAAGATAATTTTGTTCTCATAGAATTTATTGATGACACTTGTTTGATAGAGGACAAGGATATGGGGAATCTATTACTCAATGGAGTACTTAGCGGTGGCTTATATCAGCTGCAATTGTCAAGTCAATGTGTACCTGCTTTTGCGGCATTTTGTAGTCCTGTGGTCTGTTTAGTAGCTTTGACGCTGTCAAAGCTTTTCCTATGAAACCTGGCAAATAAAATGGATATTTGGCACCAAAGACTTGGACATCCAAATAAAAATGTCTATAGTACTGTTGTTAATCAGAATTTACAGTTGAATGATTCTCTTTCCAAGTAATCCTTTTGTAACTCTTGCCAATATGACAAAAACTGTCAATTGGCATTTCCTAGGTCTACTAATCAAACACATTGTCCTCTTGAGCTTATTCATACTGATGTTTGGGAACCAACTCTCCTTTGTTCTGATGAAGGATATAGGTTTTATGTTCATTTCTTGGATGATTTCAATAGATATACCTGACTTTAGCAAACTCTTGGTCTTGATTATCTAAAAACATTTAGTCATGTAGCTAAGGCTTCTATAATTAGTGTCTTTCTCTCTGTTACAGTTTCTAGAAATTGGGATATTCAGCAGATTGATATAAAAAAAGCTTTATTAAATGAAAAACTTTAAGTGGTGGTTTACATGCATCAACCTGAGGGCTTTCTAGACTCTTCGCATCCTGGTCATGTTTGCAAATTGGACAAGGCTCTTTGTGGCATTAAGCAAGCTCCTAGAGCTTGGTTTGATCAACTTAACAAGCTTTGCTTCAGTAGGGGTTTGTGCATTCTGTGGCTGATCATAGCTTGTATATTTACAATGCCAAAGAAATTTCTGTATTTTTACAGTTTATGTGGATGACATCTTGATCACCGAAAGCTCTTCTGAGGTTAATCATCAAGTCATTCAAGATCTGAATAAGTGTTTTTTCCCTGAACACAGCTGGCTCACTGAACTATTTCCTTGGATTTGAAAGTGTTCAGAACTTCGAGAGCTTTGTTTCTTACCCAACATAAGTATGCCATTGACTCGCTACAAAAGACTAATATGTTTAATGTCAAGGGCAGTCCTACTCCTATGCGTGCCAATTCTAAGCTTTCCCTGAAAGAAGGTGAACTTTTTAATAATCCAACTTTGTACAGAAGCATTGTGGGAGCTCTACAGTATTTGACTATGTCCAGGCCTGGTTTAACTTTTGCTGTGAATAAGCTAAGTCAGTTTCTACAAAATCCCATTAGAGTGCAGTGGCAAGCTTGTAAAAGGCTTCTAAGATGCCTTAAGGGTACTCTAGATCATGATTAATTTTTAGGCCTGCTGTTAATCTTACTTTGGAAGGCTACTGTGCTGCTGACTGGGGTAGCAGTGTTGATGATAGGAAATCAACCTCAGGGTACTGCATTTGTCTTGGTTAGAACCTGATCCAATGAAGCTCAAGAAAGCAGAAAGTTGTTGCTAAATCCTCTACTGAATCCGAGTATAGATCATTATCACAAGCAGCCACAAAATTTACTTGGCTACGAAGCTTGTTCAAGGGAATGCACATTAATTTCATTACCTGCCTGCCATATTATCTGGTGTGGTAACTTAGGTTCTGGTTCATTAGCAGCAAACTTAGTGTATCATTCAAGAACAAAACATATAGAGGTTGATGTTCACTATATCAGGGAAAGAATTGGTGCTAAAGAACTAGAAGTAAGGTATGTCTCAAGTGAGTTTCAAGTTGATGAGTTACTTACTAAACCTCTTGCAGAAGCCAGATTTGTGTTTCTAAGATACTGTTAGTAAAGCTTAACTTGTAAAAGACTTGCAATATGATTTTCGAGCTTACTGTAGAAATTCAAGTTTTATCATTTTGACTTGTTGACCATGCTTACTCAGCATTCCGTTTAGTATTCTAATAATGTTGAGCTGTCCAAGTTGTTATGCTCTGTTGTAAGCTTGATATAAAAGACTTCTTATACTTGAAAGCGTTCAGTTAATAAAAATTTCCTTTAATCTAAAGTTCATTCAACTCTAAGGCTCCGAGCTAGTTTTTATATTAGTTTGTTAAATTAGATTTGCCCTTAATCTAAGACTTCTCTATGTCTTGAACTTCATGAGAATCAACGGCGGTGACATTGTTTTTGGACTAGTTAAGATGAAGTCATAGTTATTAAGAAGTAAACACCAATATATTTCAAAGAATTTTCTGCTTCTAATTTTCATAATTGATCTAATATTTAGACTATGTTTTCATCATTCTTTTACTAAAAAATAAAACAAAAGAGGCAACCCAAAATAGTACATGTATTTATATTTGTCTACTTTAGATTACCATAATATGATTGCAGCATATATATCTGAATGATAAAATATGGTAACCGCACTTATCGATATTTTTGATTTCGAAACGTCTAACAATTGAACGTATAGATACAAAATCAAATCTAAAGAAAAATAAGAGAAAAAAAATTTAAAGGTGGCACAAATTCATTGGAGGATGGTATGGATGGTGCAAATGATGTGGTAGCACAACGGTGTTCTATATTTTCTTTATCCGTGAACTCAATGGACATGGGCGTCAACCTGAGAGGGGTCTCATCCTCGTAACGATGGGGCTGAATATGATGAGCTTCATCAATCTTATCATCCTTGTCTGCAGTCTCTTGAAGCTGAGATGCAAACTCAAGACCCCAGACAACATCATTCATCGATGGCCGTCTGATTCCATCATCATGTAGACAACTTATTGCTACCTCAACAAATTTCTTCAAGCACTGAAGCGTTATCTTACCCTTCAAAGAAACATCAACAATTTGATCAACTGTTCCATTAAGATAACATTCTTTGGCCCATGCTGCTAAACTCGCTTGCTTCTTATCCCCCGTACGGAGTATAGGTGGTCTACCGCATAATACTTCAAACAGCACTACACCAAACGAGTATACATCTGATTTCTCTGTTAGCTGTTGACGTCGAAAGTACTCAGGATCCAAATATCCAAAACTGCCCTTCACCCTTGTACTTATATGAGATATAGACATGGTAGTATGTCTCATTTTGGACAATCCAAAATCAGATAACTTGGCCACCCATTTCTCATCCAACAAAATGTTTGTTGTCTTCACATCACGATGAATGATAACGTGCTTCACGCCTGTATTAAGATAATGAAGGCCGCGGGCTACACCAATGCATATCTGGAGTCGTTGATTCCACGTTAAGAGGAGGATTCTTGCTGTTATAGAGATGATCACGAAGGGTTGCACGAGACATGTAATCGTATACAAGGATCATCTCTCCATGATCGTTGCAATAGCCAATGAGAGACACCAAATGAAGGTGTCTAAGCTGAGAGAGCATTTCAATCTCGGTGTTGAATTCATTGGCTCCCTGTTGTGACCCTAGGTTCAGCAGTTTGATTGCGACTGGTGTGGACCCATCGTTAACGTAGCCTTTGTACACATTACCGAACCCTCCAACGCCAATAATGAAAACATCATCGAAGTTGTTGGTAGCCGCTTTGATATCAGATAGTGAAAAGTGGGTACAAAGATTTGACGGTAGAGATGAGCCACGTAACTTGGTTGAGTTAATCGTTGAAGAAGAAAATAGGGCCCATAATGAAGCCCCAGTACTTGAACCTGAGTCCTTGAATTTCCTTACTCGCCGGAAAATGAATAAAAATAAAAGAGAAAGGACGGCAAAGCCAGCTGCTGCACCGGCAACATGGGTATTATAGTTGTACTATCATTCTTGGATTTCTTTGATTCTGTGTTTGTCTGCGGAACTGCAGATGGGGGGATGGGGTCAGGTTTAGGTCCGGCGAGATTTCCATGATTGTCCACTTTGAAGATTTCAACGCCATTCAAGGTAGCATCAGAATAGGTACTCATCCACTTGGCTGTTGGGTGCAGAGCAACAGAGAGATTCTGCTTCTTTTCGTTTCCTTTTCCTCCGATAATCACAGCGTAGTCTTTGTATATTGGAACACCACGACCATTACCCAAAGCAATCATGTCTAATTGATTTTCGGCAGTCTCATTTGCTATGTCGACCTGAAACACTCTATCACCAACTTTTGTTATCTCTATCTGAAACTCACAAAAATGAAGCCTGACAAAATAGGTAAACCCGGAATCCACTGCAAACTCCCAAGTGAGGATATAGTTTGCATTAATTTCCTGGTCCAGTCCCATCGTCATAGCGCTTTGATAGACTTCAGCTGGAGCAGTGTAATTAGCCATCCGGCTGAAATTGAGAGGCATACTAGAGTTATAGCCTGGTCTAGCATATGTCAAGTAATCCGCGGAACTGCCAAACCAGGTTCGAAACATGCCGGTGTCGAGGTGTGGGGAGATCAGCCTGCCGCCGATATTTACTCTGTATACGGTCTCCAGGGCTGCGCTGTTTTCGATACTGTATCTGTATGTAAGATCTGTAGGCCGGTCTAGAAATTTTAATGCCTTACTGGGTGCTTCGGTGTAATAAAGATTGGTAGGCATGGATACTATTTCAATTCCGTTGACGAATGCGTATGCCTGTTGATAGTCTGGACTCGGAGTAAAGGTTATGTTTAACTTTTCACCTTCTTCCACATTGAAGCACAATTCTTTGAAAAAGGTGTCTTGGTCTATGGCAGCAGCCGTAAGTGAAGCACTGAAGTTGCTTAGGAGGGTAAAAGAACCTGCTTTAACAGCAAGTGAAGCACTGAAGTTGCTTAGGAGGGTAAAAGAACCTGCTTTAACAGAGAAGAAAGCTTTCGAGTTCTCAAATTCTGGATACGAAGTTGGATAGAAATACAAGCGGATAAACTTTTGACCGGCCGTGAGGTTGAATATATATGTGAACGGCGAATGAGAGAGTCGTGCTTGCAAGTAGCATTTCTCGGGACTGCTACTTGGATTTTTAGGTGCCGCAGAGGCTATCGAAGCGTTATATTGGGTTTCAAACAGGGGGAAGTATTGAGAGCTATTATCTCCAAACCATGTCCGTGTTTGATCTGCAGAGGGGAAGCTGTAAGACGAGCCACAAGCGAGAAGTATGTTTTCTGTTGCATTATAAGAATAAGGTGAGTTACCATGAACGCCGTAGGCAAGGTGGCAGACGAAGAAGGAGAGGTGGAATAGAGTGAGAATTGCTCGGATTTTAGCATGGAGATACTTACTGTAGGTGTTCTCCATTGTGTGTTAAGAAGATGAAGCACTGGTAATTACAGCTTAGGCAGATGAGTCAAATATAAACGCAGGAATGATTGGAGAAATTGGGCACTACCAACGAAGACTTGGAAAAGTCTTGGAAGTCTTTGGCAGATACTTTACGAAAAGTGATGGCAACTTGTTGAGTCATTTTCTCCACGAAAAATTGTTACTTATATATATATATATATATATATATTTTTTTTTTTTTGTAGAAGTTTTTTTTTTTTTATCACTGGTTTATGGGCCAGTTTACACCTACCTCAATGAATACCTTGAAACGTTGAAGTTTAAGGCTGAATAAATTACTTTTATTAGTAATTCAGATATATCAAATTGGAAAGCTCTTGAATAATACACTTATAAATCCTAATGGATCAATACCTCTTATCCTCCAACTCGTTGAAGACTATTAACAAATATTTTTAAATCTTTCTCAATATAAAAAAGCGCAAATTGGTTTCCATATTATAGTCTTCACACATACTAGAATCATTGCCATATAAAAAATTTAGTAAAAAGCCATATAAAATCTCCAGCGAGATTTTAATGTTGGAAAAGGTTTATTTTATTTAGTTTTATGAAATTTAATATTAATCATTGTTACATGATAGCTAAAATAAACCCATAAAATGATAGTCAAATAACTGTTGCAACATAGTGGGTCCCCAATCTACAATAATATGGTGATTTCATCATCTTATGCAGCCAAAATAAGTGTCGAAATCCCCGAATTTCTGTTCATACAACAACTTTGATGATGTTCATTACTGGCATTGGAGGTTTGGTACTGTGTAGAAATGCTTCGTTAACGATGGGTCCACACCAATTGCAATCAAATGGCTAAACCCAAGGTCACAACAGAGAGCCAACGAATTCAAGACCGAGAAATCAAACGTATACTTGTTTGGTATAGTCTTGTTCGAAGTATTATGTGCTAGACCATCTATACACAGTAAAGGGATAAGAACCTAGCCTTACATGTCTAGCGTGAGAGAGAGAGTGTGTTAGAAATTGTATTTGTTTCATATATATATATATAATATCTTATATATATATATATATGTGATTAGACTCCTTTATTGAACTAACTTTAGAGAGAAAATTTTATCCAAACCTGTTATATTGAAGATCAAGAAAAATGTATAATTGATGAAACTTGTTTACAGTATTATGAGATGTTTGTTTGCATCTTTTTATCCGCTCTTTGTTATAATATTATTTCCCTTCAAACTAAAGTTAGATCGGAAGCAGCAGCATGTCAAAATTCTATCGAGAGGATCACGAAAAGACAATTGATAAATAGGCATAATGAACCTGCATCTTAAACATAGTTAATGCACCTTCATTAACTCTTAAAGAGAGACATTGTATATCAACTTTTAAGAATTCTTTGGGTAATACAGATGAAATATACAGGGTAATTAACAAGATAATTAATTTTGTTCTTTTAAGTAGTTGTCGTCTAGAAAAATCTGGATTAGCTAGAAGAGTATAATACATAATGGTTGTTTTGAAAAAAATACTGAGCTGTGCAAAAAGCTTGGCAGCCCAGCTGTTAAGTTAGATATATTGGCATAATATTGTCTTCACCTGAGTCTCTTTTCTTGGACCCCCAAATATATGGTCAGAATTCAACCCTCTTCCGTTTCCCAGAGGTTAGAAATTTCAATATGCTGAATTTTCAATAACGTTAGAACTTGAGTGATTTGGCTGCAAATCACATGGACCCTCTTTCAGCATTGCTTTTATATCTCTTCTTGACTCTTTGTCTTCTACCAAGACTGTGGAGTGGGACAAAGCTGGGCAGGCCGCCCCGCTGTAATTGAATTTATTTAGAGATTCACGATTGGCTGACGGTAGAGATGAGCCACGTGACAATGGGTATTATAGTTGTACTATCATTCTGGATTTCTTTGATTCTGTGTTTGTCTGCGCAACTGAGATGGGGGGATGGGTCAGGATTAGGTCCGCGAGATTTCCATGATTGTCATTTGAAGATTTCAACGCCATTCAAGTTAGCATCAGAGTAGGTACTCATCCACTTGGCTGTTGGGTGCAGAGCAACAGAGAGATTCTGCTTCTTTCATTTCCTTTTCCTCTGGATACACAGCGTGTCTTTTGAACACACTACCATTACCCAAAGCAATTATGTCTAAATGATTTTCGGCAGTCTCATTTGCTATGTCGACCTGAAACACTCTATCACCAACTTTTGTTATCTCTATCTGAAACTCACAAAAATGAAGCCTGACAAAATAGGTAAACGCGGAATCCACTGGAAACTCCCAAGTGAGGATATAGTTTGCATTAATTTCCTGGTCCAGTCCCATCGTCATAGCACTTTGATAGACTTCAGCTGGAGCAGTGTAATTAGCCATCCGGCTGAATTTGAGAGGCATACTATAGTTAGAGCGAAGATAGCCTGGTTTAGCATATTTCAAGTAATCCCCGCAACTGCCAAAGCAGGTTCGAAACATGCCGGTGTCGAGGTGTGGCGAGATACAGCTGCCGCCGATATTTACTCTGTATACGGTCTCCAGGGCTGTGCTGTTGTCGATACTGTATATAGGATTTGTGGGCTGGTCTGGAAATTTTAATGCCCTACTAGGTGCTTCGGTGTAAAAAAGATTGGTAGGCATGGATACTATTTAAATTCCGTTGACGAATGCGCATGCCTGTTGATAGTCTGGACTCGGAGTAAAGGTTATGTTTAACTTTTCACCTTCTTCCACATTGAGGCAGAATTCTTTGAAAAAGGTGTCTTGGCCTATGGCAGCAGCCGTAAATGAAGCACTGAAGTTGCTTAAGAGGGTAAAAGAACCTGCTTTAACAGAGAAGAAAGCTTTCGAGTTCTCAAATTCTGGATAGAAATACAAGCGGATGAACTTTTGACCGGCCGTGAGATTAAATATGTATGTGAATGGCGTATAAGAAAGTCGTGCTTTCATGAAGTAGTTCTCGGGACTGCTCCTGGGTTGTTGAGGTGCTGTGGAGGCTATCGAAGCGTTGTTTTTGGGCTCAAACTGGGGGGAGTGCTGAGAGCTATTATCTCCGAGCCATGTCCGGGTTTGATCCTCAGAGACAAAGCTGCCAGACGAGCTACAAGCCAGAAGTATGTTTTCTTGTGGATGGTAAGGATAAGGTAAATCAGCAGAGACGCCGTAGGCAAGGTGCCAGACGACGAAGGAGAGATGGAATATAGTGAGAAGTGCACAGATTTTGGCGTGGAGATACTTACTCCAAGTGTTCTCCATTTTGTGTCGTGAAGATGAAGAACTGGTAACTACAGCTTAAATAATTCAAAATCCACCTAAGTTATGTTAATTAGCGTTTATCGGAGGAATCAAACAAAAATAGAAAATACATTCCACTATCAACTTGTGTGGGATTAACAAGAAGCAGATGGAGATTGATGTTTGTCAAAGATAAAGACCAACATATATCTCGAGGGTGTGGCCTAAAGATAAAGACCAAAGGGAGCCTTGTTTCAGCTATCTAGGTTCCTTTAGGAAGAGTTGAAAGTTCGGACTGTACACTACCATAAATCTTTGAAAGATCTACAATATTGCTGATCATCAAACCTCTTGCGTTTATACAGGATATATAGTCAGTAAACCCCAAATCATTTTGTACTTTAATTTAATATTTATAATTATTGTGTACTATCATAAATATTCTCATAAGTTGTTAAATTTTATTATAAAGAGGTCAGTGGTAATTTTATTAGTCTTAGGCATGAATTGAAACTGGATTGTGGAGAACCGCTACTTGACATGACATATCTTATACCAAGTGTTAAAGTCATTAACAACACTATTATCTATCTCAATTTCAACGCTATACCATCATCGAAAAAGAGAGATACCCTGTTTATAATTGAATCTAGAAGCAGGCCCAACAACTCCAGAATTAGAATTGATATGATGGATGTTGTTGGGCCTATTTTAGACCATATTTATTATCCTTAAATATATTTTGTTAGTTATCTAATTTAATTTAATTATATGTTTATTTTTGTTTTTGGTGAATTAATTTGGAAGCATGGAGAAAAGTCTTTTAATTCAAGTCTTTAATATCCAAGGAGAGATTAAAGCCCAAAGAGGAGAAGGACAGAGGAATAAAATAAAGGGGGTAATATGTAATTTTACTTAGCTTTATAAGCGACCACAGCGTGAAAGTAAGTTTAATTAATTGTGTGGGCCGTAGGGCTGGAAAATAAAAAATAAAAACCGAACCGAAGGCTAAACCAAAAAATCGAATTTTTCCACCCTTAGTGTGGCCCAAGTTGTTATATGGATGGAATATGGAATTGCTTCCTAAGCCTTTTTTTTTTTTTTTTTTTACCAGGGTTATTCGGGTCAGCTTACTGACATCTCAACTAATTTTTCGAGATTTTGGAATTATCGACCAGGTAAGAGTTGTAGTAGCTATCCCTATTAGCAACCGATGAGAGACTCAAACTCAAAACCTCTTAAGTAATATGCTCAAAAGTCTCTGTCGAATCACTCGACCACCTAAAGGTAGNCGGCTGAATTTGAGAGGCATACTATAGTTAGAGCGAAGATAGCCTGGTTTAGCATATGTCAAGTAATCCCCGCAACTGCCAAACCAGGTTCGAAACATGCCGGTGTCGAGGTGTGGCGAGATACAGCTGCCGCCAATATTTACTCTGTATACGGTCTCCAGGGCTGTGCTGTTGTCGATACTGTATACAGGATTTGTGGGCTGGTCTGGAAATTTAAATGCCCTACTGGGTGCTTCGGTGTAATAAAGATTGGTAGGCATGGATACTATTTAAATTCCGTTGACGAATGCGTATGCCTGTTGATAGTCTGGACTCGGAGTAAAGGTTATGTTTAACTTTTCACCTTCTTCCACATTGAGGCAGAATTCTTTGAAAAAGGTGTCTTGGCCTATGGCAGCAGCCGTAAGTGAAGCACTGAAGTTGCTTAAGAGGGTAAAAGAACCTGCTTTAACAGAGAAGAAAGCTTTCGAGTTCTCAAATTCTGGATAGAAATACAAGCG